AATTAATCTGATTTTTAAAATTCGCGTATTGATATAAAGTCTCGAATATTCTTTTCGAAGATGAACATTTCAAACGACAATTAACGAAAATATGACAATTGGTCTAATACTGGCACCGTACGATTACATTCGATAGCAAATGCTTAGAAAATCAACGAACCACTTAAGTTTTCACCCGAACCTTCTAACTAATGTCTATTCGATTTCTTTTCTATCACGAAGATGTTCTAAAAAGGTGTCTTGCTTTCACGATAGACATGCCATTTGTCGATATTGGTCTTTCTCTAAAGTCGAACTCCTCGAAATTCGTCGCACAAATTAGCTTGTTAAATAGAAAGCGAAATTAGTGATTTAAAAAACCGATCCTATTCCGTCAGTAATTCCAGCTATGGTGGTCAATTACAAAAAGCAATGATTTACGAAAGGATGTTTTTTTATAGTTTTTATATATCTACTTTTAACTGAATGTTACTTTAGTATGGTCTTTGTCATAGAAACAATCAGAATTTAAGGGATGAATGTTACATAGCAAAATGGAAAGATATTGCTTAAGAATAAACAATTGATAATGAGATCATTAAATGAGTCTATGAATGTATTTAACATGGTTAGGTGGCACAGGTACTGCAAATATCAAGTCAATACATGAAAAGCCCTATAACAGTGATATCCAAATCGTAAACCAAAATTTCTTATTTTCGCGTAGAAAAATGAGCGTTTCCCTTTTTTTTCTCATTGCCTCGCCATATTCACGAATATTTAGTTGCGTGAATATTCGCAATAGAAACAGATTCAACCGATTTCCGGCATATCTGATCCAAAATACATGGATTACTCTGTTTGAATAATACTAATGATTTACTGTGTCATCTTTGGAAGCAATTCAATATCTCAGATTGATTTCGCAAATCATCTGCTCTTCTGCATATAGAAAATGTTAACGTTTTATATAGTATTACTCAACATATGTCTTATCAGTATGAAGTGAAACTTATTTTCATAAAACAGTAATAGTTTTAATCGATCTGTGAAGATTTGCAATAAAATAATGATGAATCGTGAACAGAATGCTTTAATCTTAATAATATGTATGTATATACATATTGTGTATCAAGCAGAGTTGTCCAAAATTAGAAACCTAAATACTCTTATTTATTTCGAATGATACAAAAAAGTGTCCAACAAATAAAATATTTATTTATAACGATACGTAATACAGTAGAAATACTTTTACCAATGTAGTCTTTCTTGACAATTTCTGAAACAGCGTTATATACTTTCAGAATTATTGCTTAATTAATTATTCCTAAAAAATTTGATATTTATTTCCAAGCATATCAAAAACACACGATTTTTCACATCTTCTTTTAAAATACAAGGGCACAACGATATATTGAATTGAAACCTTTAGTGGTATTAAAAAAAAACGTGTATTATTTAGTGTTATCCATAATACAACAATGAAAGGTGTCAACATTGTTGCATATGGCTTCGAACTACAATTTCTTAAAATTTGGTCTCAAAAAGGGTAATCTTCATGAAGTTTCTTGTTTTCATAAAAAAACAAATATTTGTTTTCTCAAACATTTTTTGTATCACAGGAATGTAAAGAAAGTATTGTAGGCTCTACTGTAACAAGAGATAAGGCTCACTTGCTCCTATTAGACGTGTATATTCATAGCATCAAGTATTGGCCAGAATAAGTCAGAATTGAAATCGTTATGATGAGCATCAATTGACAGATGTCGTGTAATGACATCTATACAATATAACATGGCAGATGTATTCTTTTTATGCTTCGATCATGATACTGACAGCGTCAGCAATTGAATAGAAGTATAACAAATTAATTTACAAATATTGTTTATACATATCGTCCGATTGTATCTTAATCCCATAAACCTATTTTGTACATACAACTTCGTTCAGTACTTCAGAAAAACTGAATGTTTAGAATGAAACTTTTACATTATGTATACCTCATACCACCGGTAAACGAATAACTTAACGATTCGATATACTGTATTTCTACGTATTATATGCAACTAAAACTGAAAATCAAGTGCTTCTTTGGATTTACTTTCACAACGAGTCTATTCGAATCACTGTATTTTCTAATACAAGTACCAAGCGTAAATAAACCGCAGTGGTTTTCATTGTTTCGTTCGAGCCGATTTTATTTCACCTTCACAGCGAACTACCTACTTTGAAAGAAATTTACAGGCGACAATACGATGATTGTATCAATATTAAAAAGCTTCTTTCATGAATGTACGGAAAACATGAATTCATGGCAGTTTAATGGTATCATCAAAGCATTTACGAGACGAGATCCTGAAGAAATATCGAACTTCATTTTATCAGAAAATACAGTAATATCTATACACGTCGCAGTACACGGTCGTCGTAACTGGAATGTGAAAGTATATTGTGCAATAAACTACCTAATATCTCGAACCATTCTATCCGCTAATTCGAAAACATACTTGTGTACATGATCTAATTTCGTAATGAAAATGCAAATGTAACTATGTCGATCTGCAATGTATTGCGTGTAGAAATCGATTTACTATCCAACAATGTAACTGTAATACGTAAAAATGTACTTTAATCGAACTTATCACGAAGTTCTGCAACACCTTCAACAATTGGATTATAACGAAACGTTTAAAAATTTCAATTTTATAAATGATATACTTTTTACCTGTAAACATACAAGATGTCCTACGATGTATGATTCTACATTTAAAACAAATAAACAATATAAACTAAGTTTTTCTTATGAAGCATCGTTTTTAAAAATCGAATTTGAAAATTGGTTCGACAGCTTGTACTTCAGTACCGTTTAGTTCGTTTACTTAGTCGGTACACTTTCTTCTGTTTGTTAACGTTTATTAACAGTGACTATAGTGTGGTGACACCTGTTTTCCGCGATTATTTTATATAAACTGATAGACAGAAGATGTATGAATGATGGAAAATAGATCGTACCATACCAGTCTTTGTGTTCATTCTAAGTAGAAACAGTGAGTGTTAAATAGACTAAATCACTTGAATTTTCAAATTTGATTTTGTCAAGAACGAAGCCCCACAAGAAAAAATTTGATTATATATTTAATATCTTTTTTTACGGGACACTTTGTACTAGTTACACATATTTAACACGTTGATACCGGCAAGATATTTATAATCGGACTGCAGATGTTTATACTATAATAGATCTGTATGAATGGATTTATAAAGTTTGGAATTGAATAGAACTTTATTTATGCCGTTAAATATTCTAAATAACAAAAATCTCAGTATACGTTATTGGAGTTTTTAGTATATAGTGTTTCCGATAATCAATTATACTATACACGTATAAATCTGCAGTTTGTTTATCATTCCTTTGTTCCAATTAATATACTAGTGTGGAATATAAGAGAGTAAACTTTTTTTTAGAAAAATGAAGTCAAAACTTACTGTCGTTTTATTCTTCGGTCGTTCTTGAACCACGGTAATCAATTTCACGACAACAGAACCTCGATTATTTGAACATCGTTATGTCCAGCGGCTCTACTAAAAAAACAGGGCCATCCAAATTTAATGGATACACAACGCAACAAAAAGTGAATGTTTATCTGAAATCGTGAAATGAAAAAAATACTGATACAGTAACGTAAAAATCGAGTATACTGATTAAATGATTGATAATGCACTTACCAATATGTCTTTCATAATTGTTAAGACACAAAAAAAACTGAACCAGAATTATATTTGACCAGTTCATATAACCGAGGCTTCACTGTGTCAAAATCTGATTTAAAAAGAAACTTCGAATCCGATCCACTGGTGTGTCAAGCCGTCGCAAACGTGTTAAATACTTGTGGCCGTGTATGTAGTAAAAAAATAATAGATTGAAGGTACGCTTTATTATCGAGAATGTTCTCTTCGGATAAACGTGCCAGTAATCACGAAAGCGAGCCAAGTCATACCATTTTCACTTCTCGAGAATAAATTCAATGCAACACAACTACCAATAACCTTTTACTTCTTTAATTCAATAAAAGCTCTGCCTTAATGTCACCTAATTAACACGCACATGGATGTAGGGATGAACCGATCCAAGTAAATAATCGATATTTTCGCTTCGATACCGAGTATTTTTAGTATCGATACTTTCGGTTGCAATATATACTCAGTAACGAAAAAAAAGTACTCATATCGAATGGAGCAAGTAATCGATATGAAAGCTAATGAATGTGAATGTGGTTGTCGCCCATTTATATTATTTTCTTAATAAACGTTCATTAATAAACTATATCTTCGTTTAAATTAGAGACGAGCAAAGTCATTATCTAGATAAAGTGTTTCGAATAACGAATAAAACATAAAAAAGTACATGGTCATTTATAATCAATAAACGTAGTAATTCCAAGTTTCATAACAAAATAATACTTCTTCCTGAATGATTTGACATTTGGCAAACAATTATGTAATCTCATTAACTGCTTAAAGCTCAGCATGACGCCCATAGATACTGCTGCTTTTCACTATATATTATTCGAATAAAGTTCTGCTCAACTCTGGTTAAAATACATTACACTAATAAAAAAAGAGCTTTGTATTCATTTTCCTTCGATGCAAGTAGGTATCGATACTTTTGATGCGATACTAAGTAGGATAAACGAAACTTTTTTTTCGATACAACTTATGAGTAAAAGTATCGATATCTTGAAGGTATCGGTTCACCCCTACACGTGCGTACGTAAAAATTACGTGAACAGTACAGAAAGGTCAAACGGGGTCCAGCTATCAACTCTTTATGAAAAAGCACATTGCTATAATGTCGATTCGTATGACAGGAAATAGAAGATACCCTAAGTCCCCACAAAAATTATTGACTCGGGTCAGTTTCGTAATCACCAGCCCCTATCCTTTTTTAATTTGTACAAAAGAGAAAGCAACGTCGAGACTGTTGACCGATTCCACGTAAGAATTGTAAAAGGAGAGGGGGGGGGGTGTGGACACGTGACAGAGAAACGGCGTGAATAGATTCTCGCCCCCTCGGTCCAGGCAAGATCGTTCTCTCGACTTGGCACTGAAGGGTAGCTACTTAGCAAGAAAGGACGACCCCAGCCCGGATCATTGTCGGGTCGCATCAGAATAGGCCGAGCTTTGTCCTCAGGAACTCCTTGATGGGGACATAATATTGGTTCCTTAAGGCCACCATCTCCGGCGTCTTCCGCAGACTGTTGAAAAGCATCGTGTCTGTTTCGAACACCAGAACGATCACAACGAACAGAACCGTGATCGTGAGCACAAACGCCGGTATGAAAAGCTTCACTATCCGTAGACTCTTCTGCCTGGACTTGTCCAAACGTCGACCGGGTTGCTGGTGTTGCTGGTGTTGCTGCTGAAGGCAGAGCTTCGAGTTCTGGAGCTTCTGCATCTTCGGCACTGGCGTCACCGAACGACTCTGCGGTTTACCGGACGCGTCCAGCAACTGACTCTCGGACGACGAATGATCGAACGAGTCCCTGAAGTAGTAGTCGTTTACGTCTCCTTCGTGCTGACCGACTGAAACACAAAAGTTTCTGATGTTCTCATTTGTAAGACTGCGCGCGTGTAGCTCACATATAGCATCGAGACACTGTTCTACGTTCGCGAGTGGTATGAAAAATTAAGTTTCACAAATGTTTCTGAATTCCCTTTGATTCTCTGTGATACAGTGCCATAGACAATTTGTCCCATATGTTTTCGAACTGAAATTAAAAGGAACAATTTTTTGCAGGATATTGATGCCGTTTTTTAAATTGATAATTCAACATGGTTTCCTTCGGATAAGATATATCGTTGAACGTTTTTCTTCGAAATACTACGAACACTGACATCTAGATTGAGGATTTAATCCATTTATAAAATACGGTAAAATAAGAATTTTTATGGTGTTTCATGAAATTTTATTATCTTGTTCTTCCCCTCATATTACTCATGAAAGAAGCAGCAAATATTTTCTTTCCGTTTGTGTAAGTTAGTTAATAAAAATTAAAATTTGCATAATCATCCATTAATGACTCGTGACGTCGATGGTTCCGGCGGTTGCTTTTGCCGTCATCTTGAAGGAGTATTGCAGATGTTTCCGGAGTTTCTATATTGTTACATACAGTATATTCCATCAAAAGGGGATTATTTTTAATATTTCGTATAAAAAATCATTAATATCCTATTAAAGAGTATCATTTTAATTTACATTCGAAAACCTATTGGAACAAACCGTGTTCAACTGTTTTTTCTTTGAATTGACATATACAGGGTGTAAACTAAATGTGTTAAAATGCAATTTTATTGAAACTAAATAAGATACCAAACTTCTGTTTGCTGGAAGTTCTGTGGTACGAAGGGGTTCAACATTGATAACATTTTATTTTCCTTTGTGTAAAACCAAGGTCACGTGGATTCTAATATCTGAAGTCGGTACAGAACTTCTTTACGCGTGGAATTATTCCAAATGGGTCCGTAATAAGTTGTTAATTGCCACATACAGAAATTTGGTCCTTCACAATTTACATATTCTAAAAATGATGTTCATATCTGTACAAAATTTAACGAGAAAGGTTAATGATTCGTGATTAAATGAAAAGAAGAATGAACGTTTGATGATTGACGCTGGTGGTCCCATTTTCATGAAAATGAGCAAAATTGCAAATTCTATATTTTTGATTTTTTAAACTTGAACCATCCTCTGTCCTCAACCTTACTATACACATAGTGCTGCATTATGTACTTTTCTTCTGATATGGAAATACATAAGACGTATAACGTCGCTAGAGTTGGGTAAAGCAAATTTCACAATTAACAGAACATTTTGTTAAATATATACATGGTAATCATTTGTCATAACAGTAAGGTATTTAGAAATAAAGTTTTCTTCGTTAACCCCTTGACTGCGTAGATAGCGTAGATCATCGTCTATGGACATCTGACGATTATTCTTTGATTGCCCGACTGTAAAAATGAATTAGAGCGTTTCTTTGCTCGTGCTTTAAAACAGCTAGTGACTAAAAATCAGGCAACGAAAAAGTCACACGCTAATTAAGGTTTAAACTTCGATGAGAGCGTTGCCAATAAATTGGTAGGATCCTTCTGATGAAAATAAGTCCAAAAACGTCGTCATTTCTATTATTAACAACTATATCTGGAACCATATTCACTAGGAAAGTTTCCCCAATCTGCTGATGAAACTTTCTTGAAGACACAATGCAAAGTAAGCAAACTTTTCTCTTGAATTCAATGATCGGTATGTCTGTGTGACATGCGTTCGAAGTTTTTCGCTGTCACACAAACAGCAAACAGAAAATCTGAATTTCACAAACAATCCTCAGTTTTTGCGTAAATCCTCCGCAGTCAAGGGGTGAACGCAACGTTTACCCACCTCTAGATGAAACCTCTGATCAAATCCACATTAAAAGTTCGGCCGCAAAGAGTCTTTACAGTAAAATAGGCGCAGGCTCATGCTGATGGGTCTAAAGGTGGGAATCTCCTATCTGCGTCAGACACATGCATTTACGCCTAAATTGCTATCGAAGCAGACGTTTCACGTCAAAAACAATGGATGAAACGAGAAAAAACTTTTAGACCCTTATTGGTGTTGCGATATATACTTGTCCAAGATTTTTTTATAAATTTTACACATACTACATAAACGTATGTACACCCAATTCTGTTATTACACGATAGATACGTTCTGAAATGTGCGTGTAAAAAAATGTACTGTATCTATGAAGAACTAGAAGATTGGTTCCAGACCTAAAAACCAGGAAAAATAATACAATAAACCATATGAAAATTCATGTTAGAATCTTATCATTCATTTTTACGTTTGCACTTTTTATATAAAAATGTATTATACAAAGTAAATTATCACTTGAAAAGAAAAAAAAATATCTTGGTCATCGTCTTCTTGCTCCATTGGTGAAATTCTTTCTGTGATCTCTTGAACAAAATTAACAGTAGTCTCCTGTGGTGTCGGCGTTTTACTAGTTTTAAGAACGAATTCAGTTATTAATCCTTGTGTACGTGTTTTGATTGTATTTAATGACTTCACGTTCATCAATTCCAATCATTCTATTCATGATGTCATTAGTGATTTCAGATCACGTTGGAACGTCCCAGTTCGTTTCTCATTAGGATCACGCTGGACAAAAGGATTGCCCAACTTGGCCAATTCAGGACGTTCATTCAAGATCGTTCATCAAAAACTATTTGTTAGAATTCAGGTCGATCGTGTGAAATCCAAACAGATCGTGTAAAAAGAGAATGGAAAATTTTTTCTAATTCGTGTTCAATCAAAATCGCGTACAAAAAGTTCGTGTAAAAACAGAATTGGGCGTAATATGATTTTTTGTTCAGTGGTGACATACGCACAGACTGTAAGCGTAACTCAAAATTTAATATCGTTCCGATAGGAGATGCGGCTCTCGAATATTTCCGATAGGCGATGTATGGCTCCTATCCTGACAAGGTTTGGCCACCAGTCTTAAAGATTGTCTAACGTAGATAGAAAACTCCACCTTTATGCAAACGTACGAAACTGAACGCAGCTGGATGACAATGAAACATAGTATACTCAACGAACAAACTGTTAGTATACCCGTGCAACGAACATTTACTACGACGGAAAGAAAGACAAAAAAAACAAACTGAAAAAAACGACCACAGCAATTCGATGTTGCGTCAGGAAGGAGAGAGTTTTTCGAGGTGGGGTGGTATGTTGACGTGTGTGTCGGGGTTCTTGTTAACTGGCCTGGCCGTATGATCGGGGGATTTACCTTTCCTCTCCAGCGGCCTCGTCGCCTCGACTCCATTCCTAACGTTCCCAACGTCGGTTCTCGTCGATGGCACGCGACCGTTCGCCGTTTTCGTCGTTGCGCTGACGCTACGCTGCGGCGTGTTCTCCGTTTCTCGGCGTTCAAGCGTGCTTACCTGCTCCGCGGATCTGCACAGTATCGTCTTACCGGTCGTCCGATTTCGATCGTACAGACCGTCGATCACCGTGGTAATGATCGTTCCTGAATCGGCATCGGGCAATATGTACGTTTCGTTTCCGATCCGTTCGCCGTTTTTCAACGATGTCGCCGACACTTTCAAGCTCTTTATTATCAGGGCGGTCGAGCGCACCACCCTCGGGCTCTTCTCGAGAGCGTTAATACGTTCCCGTACGACGTAATCGATGTCACGACCGACTAAATCCTCGGTGCTTATCACTATCTTTCGACTGTACAACGGTTGCGGTCGACTCGGCGTGCTCTTTGGGAATTTCAGTCTAACTTTCGCATTTCGGTTTGTGGTGGTGTTGGAGGTGGTGGTAGTGGTGGTGGTGGTGGTGGTGGTGTTGTGGGTGGTGGCACTCGCATGCGTATCTTTTTCGTCTACGGCTAAACAAACAGAAAGAAAAAGGAAAAGACAAATCAACGGATCTAAGAAGCCAAAGAAAGCGGCGATTTTCTAGAACGGACGTCCTCTGAGCTTTACGATTCATTCACGCGGAAAGTAATCGCCGTCCGGCTTGATCGCGTGAGAATATTTGTTTTAATTGTTTAGACGGAAAATTAACTGTATTGTTCATTTCGGTGAAATGGTACCGTACAATGTTATAGCAATTAGACCGTAATGATTCTTTGAAGATTTTTAGCATCTTCTGTATTAACTAACGAAGGGCATGGATTTTATCAAGCTTAGTAATACATTGAAAAAAATTGCGTTTAAGGAAATCCATACCCTTCGTTAATTAATACAGAAAAGGCTAAAGAAATTAATCTTCGAAGAATTATTACAGTCAATTTGTTATAATTTTGTAGGATACTGTATTTCGGATTACAGTAGCGGATCGCATAGTACGAAGAGGTCGGAGATTTCGATGCTTGGCAAGAGAGTACGGTACATATTTTCCACGAAGAAGAGGCTCCCCCATGAAAGATACAAAATCGAAACGAACGGGACCTTTAAACAGTTAAAGTAATTAAACTAAAGTAAGAATTATTCTACTAACTCTAATTGTCAAAGAACCGGGAATATAATATACTAAATAAATAAAATGAACCGTAAATCACATCGTCGTATGTATGAATTTAATTTTTAAATTAGAAATAATAAAAGAATCGGAAAATTATCATTATAATTCAATAGAGACGTTACATGTTAAATAATGTTTGTTAAGTTAATAATGTTGTGATGGTCGTGTGTAGTTAACGATGTTGTGCAGTTTATTTAAAAGAAACAATTCGAGCCTTCCACACGGGTGGGTAAAATTACAGACGAGATACAGGATGGACTAATCGGGAAATGTCTCTTCGTGTCACTGTCAACGGGAGCTCTTGAAACTTTCATACCGTTTTACGGTTAGCGTCGCGACCAACGTTTGTAGACCGTAACAGGTAGAAGCGGATCAGAGCGGACTGGAGCGGATCCGAGCCGTTAAAATTTATTTAGCCGTCACTTCTCCAACAGCGAATCATATGCGTCATCAATAGAATCCACTTGTCAAAGTTCTCTGCTATAATCTGCTTAATAATCACATTATGTCGTTTCCATCGACAATAATTATAGAATTCACTGTTCTTAGAACTTGGAGATTGTTGAAATGATTGTTCTGTTTAATAGAAGAACTACCAGCGTTGAACGTATACTAAATTAAACTTTGTAATATATTAACATGTATGATAAATCGTGTATTAAGTGTAAATATAAGGATTATACTTAATACTAATGTAAGTATTATATGATAACACTGTTCAACACGAAAAGACCACATAAAGGCTCAGAAGTGTTTTTGATAGATATTTATGAGCTGAATACGAAAGTGCAAATCGTTTCTTCGGAGCAGGTCCGGTTATCGAAAAAATCAATTTTTAATAATATTGCAAATTTTCAACTTTGGAGCTGTGTTGTGCTTTTACGGTAATAGTTATTCAGTTTCTTTTGACAAGAAATAGTTCTTTGCAATGTTTTTTAAAAATTGATTTTTTCAAGGACTGGACGTGCTGGGGAGAAATGGTTTGTAGATTCGCATTCAGCTCGTAAAGATCTATAAGACACGCTGTTGAACCGTTATAAGGTACGCAAAAGGTTAAAATTTGTTGAACACTGTAATCTAAGTGTATAATAAATTAAAGGTCCACATTAATTCCAATCATTACGTATTTTAGTAGATGTAAATTAAAAATTCTGAAATCCATTCTGTTTATGCACTTGATAGTTTCAGTGTTAAGCGGTTGATACTGATTTCATGGAATGCAAAAACATTGTCAAATGAGTGATCTATCCTACACCTCGTCTGTGATAGAATATTCATGCATTATTCTCATTTTAAAAACGAGTCAATAAGAAACTCGCACATGCAATAAAATTATGTTTATATTATGTAGACTGTACATACACTGTTTGTCCCAAACGTGTTCGAATTTAAATTAAAACAATTGTATCTGTTTTTGAGATATCGATGATTTTTTTTTGTACAAGTTTTTCAGAATAGTTTCGTGTTGAAGAAATACACTGTACGTAACCTGTTCTGTGTTTCAATGTGTGGGTTTTAGTTACTTACTTCGTTATATCACGACTTCAATTAACCTTACGATTATATACAATGAAATAGGTAGTATTGTTGTAAGCCATGCGTCTCCAGTCAAAACAAAAGAATACTTAGTAGGCGGAAGAAAATCACAAACAATCATTACGTTAAAGGAACTAACCGTTATTTCTCCTGGCGTGTATCTCTTGGTCCTCCGAAACAGTTTCCAGGAGCGGCAATGTATTATCCGGACAGTAAGGCGTACTAAATGGAATTCCTGAACTACCCTCTGACATTCCAGCGCCATCCAAGCCTGCGCTATGACAGCTCCGGGGCAGACTGGAATATCCTATAATTAGAACGTACAAAATATTTCATATACTTATTTCTTAAACGGATTATTAGAAGACTGAAAAAAAATGAAAATAATTCTAGGATCCATTAAATTGAAATTCGAACCAATAATATTGCCCTAATCATTTCAGTTCCAATTAAATTCTGTATTTTACCAACGCAAGTTTATTATCACTATACTATGAGTTTGATGTCTGTTTTTAAACACACAGCTTGTTAAATATAATAATATAAAAGCTTCAATAATATTTAATAATGTTCGTGTTTTCTTTTTATGTAAGTTCAAAATATACTGACTTATTTCAACGAGGTCTTGACTAGGGGTACTCGGGGTGGCTGGAACACTGCTAGCTTTTCTTCTAACACACGAACTCTGGCATCGGTCCGTAGGTGAATCATCCTTCCGACGTGGGCTCATTTCTTCTAAAACTTCTTTCTCCGTTCGTCCGGTGTATTTAAACTTTGTGCCCCATGAGAATATAGATCCTCCGCTTACGACGGGCGCGTCTGACGCCCTGGGTAATCTATGGAGAAAAAATGAACAAGAATAATACCATTGGTTCGTAATACAAAGAAAAATATATCAAATATGCAATTGTGCTACACGTGTTCGGAATAAAAGTTTCTAACATACTTTATTTCTGGAAAATGCTTTAGGCTAGAATAACGTGGGCATTGAGGCGATGGACGGTATGGCGGACGTTAGTTTTGTGAGAACTTAAACTTCGACTTTGTTCGTAACATAGAGAATTTGTTCGGTCAACAGCGGATACACAGTGGCAGTCTAGTGAAAGTTTACAATCATTGTTTTCGTGTAATTTATATTCTCTAAAGGACCCATTCATCAATTGAAGTAGGTACTTATTTACAGATAAAAAATGTGGTAAAGGCAATAGTAAATCTAAAAGTTCATTTATGACATCAGTATTGGAAAATAGTAAATTCATTGAAATTATCCTTAGCATATGTATGTGTGTTAACAGTATATTTAACAGATCTTAACAACAAACCCGGAAATTATAATTCAAACCATCCGAACCCTGAGAAAACCGAATCAGAGCAACCTAAAACCAAAAAGACACTATTTTAAATACCACAGCTCCTGATAAACTCAAACCGCATCGACTTGAGACCAACAGACACGAATATGGCCTCAATCAGACTAACTCAAATTAGACTGGTCTAGTACCGAGAGACTCACTTTGGATCAACCTGAGTCCGGATGACCCACAAACGAAGAATTAAGATCGATAGGGTTGGTGTTAGTTTGGTTCAATTCCTATTTCTCCGACCTAAATTCGTTCGGTTCGAGTTTTTCGATCTCAGGTTGGTCCAACTTGAGTCTGCCAGTATTAGGGTAGTTTTATTTGTATTCCTTGGTGTTACATCGTAAATTTTACGGATCATTGCCTAAAGTGTTTCTAATTTAATGGTGTTGAACTTTTGACTTTACGTAGTTTCAGAAAGATCTGAAATTAACAATAAGTTTTAAACATTTTATGGGCTGTCTAAACATAGAATACATATGAAAGAATTATACAACATATAGGTTCGAGTAAAGGAGCACAAAAATTTAAATATTCGTCATTCAATAAGTCTTCAAGAATACATTTGTTTTACGATTTGTCTAACCTTGCACTCCAGACGGTACTCCTACGGTTAAGCCAATAATTTCCATTTTTGTTTCGTATAAAACGGGGTCCATTACACTCCAGGGTATTAAATAAGTAACACAAAGTATATGTATATGTCCAGAGTTAAATAAATAAATAAAATAAACTTCATCGAGTGTTATTACAGTTTCCAATTCATATTCCGTCCTTCCCACCGAATATGCAAACGTCCAAGCCCAAGTTTTTGCTCTCTTGAGGAGATTATAATTTTTTTTTTTGGACAATATACTGCATGCGTTTCAAGTGAACTGCGTGTCAGAGTGATTACTAGGTATGTACGTGAAATATCTGAACAAGTGATGATACGCAGTGTGATTGATACTGACAATAATTATTCACATTCCAAGGATCGCGACCCAATGAATTCTCGAACTCGATTCTCTCGAAAACGCGAATGTATGTATGTATGTACGTAGAATCATCGCCTCCTTGGTTGCATCGCTTTTTGTGAGACAACTTATAGTTTAGATTATTATATAAACTTACAATTTTTATTTCCAACATAAGTGCCCCATAAAGGCAGATGTTGTAATTTATAAATGATACAGTATAACAATTTTCTAGTGATTACAAAAAAAAGTACAGTAGAACCCTCCTTAAGCGAACTCCTATTACTCGAATAGTCCAGTATCTGAATACTTTGTCTGTCATTCGAAATTCATAGGAAATTAATTACTTTATAAAAGTATACTTATAAATTGTTTACATAGAATTCTACCATAGGATCCATACTGAGATTTACAGTAATTAATGAAAGTATTCGAACAGTTAGTTAAAGGTTAAGTATGAAATATTTTTACGACACATTAGTACAGAGTAATAAAAACTGCAAGTGTATTAAACCTCTTAAACATACGTACATAAACTTAAGAGAGCATTAATGTAATATATACATAAGTAATAGAAAATTAATTTTAACAATCTACACGTAGAACTGTATCTTTCGAATATTTTCGTTAATTCCTGTATATTGAAATCTACATCGAGATCTTAATTTGAAATTCATAAAACTTTAATCAAATCTTATTCAACTCTACTATTCTTTATTTTTGTTATGAATACTTGCGTTCTCTTCTCCGAAGTACAGTAGCGGACAAAAGAATTACTTTTCTGATTTTTTTTTATTTTTTAATATTTCTTAACATCGACTTAAAATCTTAATATACTAGGTTCTATACAACTTTTAATTCTCGATCCGAATATACATATAAACACATGCTACAGTTTTAAGTTGACGTTAAAAAACAATCAAAATAAAACGAATCGATAAAGTGGTAACTTTTTTGTTCATCACTGTATATGAACATCAATGTCAGAAAAAATAAAGGTATATTGAATCAAGTCGGATAACAGAAGGTTCTACTGTACCAGATACGCATAGAACAATGATAAACTTGATCGTAAATAGTGAAGTAAATTTAGTGATGATTAAGATAGTATTAAGACACAAATGTTACTTCCATGATTCAAAGCGTTCAAGATCTAGGATGAACTAAAAATGCTAATACCGAATACCATGTTTCCATATATACTTAACGCTGCAAAGTGCTTGAAGCTGCGATCGTCCGTGCTAAGAACATTGAAAGCGTTTCAGCTGAATAAAGGAATACATACGTGAAAAATAACATTTGCTCGATGGCGCATCTCCATACGTGGCGACAGTTAGACCCCGTGGGACACTTAAACCCAACAGTGTGCTTTTTCTGAAAATTGCGGGGAAAACGTTGCACTAAAAACCTCTACACTATGGACGCTGGATTCGAAGACTACGACTACATGTAAACTGTGTCAAACACATTTAATCGGTTTCAGAATAATTTAAGCTAGTTGCCGGATTAGACACAAACATCCCGTTTAAGCAGTAAACGTCTTCTTTTTAAAGGGAATCCATTGAACAAGAGGTCGAATCTGTTACAAGGGAATTTGGAAAACGTGTAATGGATCAATGAAAATGTTACATTCAATCGGTAAATATAGTGTTTGAGATTCTGAACAGCCAACAAATTTGTTTACCAATTATATTAAATTGTTGCACGCGATGTGGTGGATGTCAAATCAAAATATTGTACTACTGTGATCAAAATTATTCATGAACTGAACACAACAAATGAAAAGAAAGTAGATTGAAAAAGTTATCCGTATTTATGTGAAGTATTAATATAAAAATATGTATTTTTGTTTATTTTCCAAATAAAAATTGATAAGGCGATACAGTGTCTATAGGAAATGTTTCACAGTAAGAACACATTTGTCTTTTGCTAATTTTAATTATTAGAATTGTGAAGGAATATATTATGTGATTGACATTAATTGTAAATTTAAAGACGTAATAATACATATAATAGATGATATACATATAATAAGTGATAACACTATCATCTATCAGTTTCAGAACTGGAATGTTAGTAAAAATATTAAAAGTATTTTAAGTTCACAGAGTAAATGTAACACGAACAGTTCCCATCAAAATCCACCCCTTCACGCGCAACAATATAATAATAATAACGAAGGGAAATATTTAAAGGCAACGACGACAATTAACGACACACTTCTCGATCAAACTCTCAATGTCTGGTTGTCATACGAGTGCTACTTAAAATCTGAGTATCTATAATACACACCATTTAAACACTGTCACTACAGGTACAGTATTTTTGTAATTATTCATTACTTACACACAATTATGGACTGATATTAGAATGTTAACATTAGAAATTTAGAAAATGGCTATTAGTTATAAATAATATTAATCTCTACGAGATCGTACATTGGTACAATTTTCACATTTAACATTTAACCCCTTGAATTGGAACTTCATCTCCAGGACGTACCGATACACATTTCTAAGAATCTATCAACAAATGTGCATATTTTTTCCCAGCTAATATTATTTGTAATGACCAATAATTAAATAACAGAATTCGTCATATTTACATGTAAGAAAATTGCAAAGTAATTATTCAGTTAATCATTTAAAATCAATGGTCATCTGGCAGACGTACTGTTCACAAAGTGCAACCGAAATCATGGTAAAATCCAAAACTAGGTTATCCTCGTGCAAAAGTAAGTCGAAACTGTGGAACGAATTTTTTTCATATGTGGCTCCATTTTCGAGAAAATCGAATTTGATGATTTATAGAATACATGTAAAACTGAAGAAGACTTGGCTAACACATCTGACCATTAATTACTGTTTCTACTTAACGCAAGCACGAATTCACAGTCAATTCTCTCGAAAACAATGCGTCGAATAAAAACATTAATTCTATTTTTTCGATTTACTTTTGCCCGACGAATCGTAAATGTTATTTATATCACCATTACAGTCAGACCTTGAAGAATTATTGACTCTAGGGAGAATAAGGAATGATATACACATTTGTTCTGATTAACTATCAGGGGAGAGTTGCCGAGATATTACTGCTAAATCGAATACTTTGCAATATGTTTTTATTTACTACATGTTAAAATGTTTTATGAAAGACTGTAGTGTAAATTAATGTATCACATAAAGTATATGTGTTACGTTCAAGTCATGGTACCGAATTAATTAAGCATAAATTCTCAAATCATTCCAGTTTGACGAAAAAAGCTGTATGTGACTTGCTTAATAAAACCAGATGTACTTTATACTAATGTCGATTCAGCCAATTATTAAAGTAAAATATTTGGCAAGAAACCTACGTTCATAAATCCATAAACTGTAGAATAAAATCTCAATGAAAATTGTGCGGGTGAAAAACGAAATTGGCCTAAGTCGAATAAATATTTTTTAAAAATGCCCCCATATTATTGTAACGTAAGTCGATGTAACGACAAATAAGTGATACGTTCAATTAATAAGTGATACGTTAAATCTCGTCAATCGTAGCCGATTCTTCGAGATACTAAAATTATTAGAGCCACAATACTAAAACCATAATATCAAGATTTTCGCATTGGATAACTTTCAACTAACATTCTGTACACTGAAAATACCCCAAAAAATTTAACTTAACTTCCGCAATTACAAAAAATACATTAGAAATCGTAAAATTGTTCATTTATGCAAACGGTCCTAATAATTTGATCACCCACTGTATTTATGACACGAAACAGGACATAATCTCTAAAAATTTCGTTTACATTTCTCGTATCACTTATTGATTCTGTGTGCATTTATCACTGGATTACACGCGTTGCAAGGAAGTAATCCATTTACAGTTTTCGGTACGTAATTCGACAATTCTCCCCGGGTCTATACAGTTACACACAATCGACTGTTAGTGAATCGTTTGTAATCCCGACACAAGGGGTTAGAGGGGAACGAGAGACGGAAGCGAGTTACCGATTTAAAAGACCTCAAACAACGGCGTGGTTTCATCGATATATCTGGCCGGAACAGCTTTGGTCGGAGCTTTTTAGCGGTATAAACACAATAGCCTTGTCCATTCGCACACTAAGGACCGAAATGTATTGCGGATAACAAACTCGATCGTGATACGTGACAACAATCAATCTAACATGTACTTTCGAAGCTATGTCAAGGAACATGTATAACCCGTGCAACCGCCACGAAACGACTCACCTTCGTCCTCACGTCCTGAATAGGGCCAGCAGTGGAAAATAATAAGATTAGTTTGAACCCGTAACAATATCGAGCGGGCAATATACGTGCACGAACTGACGCGGGCGAGCAACTCATACTGGCCGGACGTTTTTCACGTAATGTTTAAAGGGGAGAGGAAATGGGATGCGTAACTTCGTTTCAAGTTTTTATGTTGTACGGTGAAATCGTTGGAAATGTTTCCAGACGATTAAATAGTGCTTTTGATTGTCATTGGTTGGAGATTAAGGGGATCTTATCTATACAACCCTTAATAGGGAGCTTATTATTCTGTTCCTGAATACGAATTTTTGATTCTTTGAAGTGAGATTTATATACAGGTTGAGAATTTAGAAGAGATTGTCACATTGTGTTACTGAGATTTCCGTGGTAGTTGAAGACTGTGATTTTCAACTGGGTTTTGAGAAATTTTGTTAATGGGTTTTTGGCTGATAAATGTTGGTTTTAAAATGATTATTAAATTATCCCTGATGGGTGAAGCGTTAGATTGTAATACAACTTGAAACAAACACAGCTTAGAAGAAGTTGTACAAGCAACAACAAATATTATAGATACAATTACAACAGAAAAGTGTAAAGAAGATTGAAGATTGTATAATTAATAACTTTTCATTTGTATGTGATATTTTAATACGTATATTCTTGGACTTTCTATTTCATAATTAATCGAAAAATTAGTTAAGAAGGGTAAATAATTAGTACATGGTAGATAGAAATATTTCTGTAATTTTCAAACAGAACAGCCCGGACTACAAATACATTTCATACAAGTATTTCTGTCCAGTATACAATATATTGGAAGATAAGAATAAAAATTTTCGATAAAGATTCTTCATTCTTTTATCAAAATGAATAAACAATTGATATTATATTTAATATTAGTTTCCTTGAATTAAAGATAACCCTATCGCTCGACTGGATTCATATAAATTATGAAAAACTTGTAATGAATATATAAACAGAGTTTTCGTCTTTCTATTTGAAAAAAAAACTAGTTTGTAAATATTAGCATTTATGAGTATGTAGTTATATTTTAGACGAGTGGAAGACTTGTCGAGTTTGTAATCCTGTAAGCTTGCGTTCAGTCACTGGGTCACGGTTGATACCTCGGATTGAGGAAACAGTTGAACTAATAACCGTGCTTACTGAGCTGCAAATTATTACGCGAAATTAAATTTTTCTACGGTATTTAATAAAAATGAGAATTAAGCAGAGATTTATTTTTTTCTATCGAAGATTATAATTGATTAATAGTAAAATGAAGATTCTACTAGTAAATAATTATGTTGTTTTTATTGTACACATCTTTAAATTTTACGATGCCGTAATGCAACATCGAAAACGTGTATAAAAGAAGTATAATTGATCGATCACGTTTATGATCAAATGTCCAGTACACTAAAAAAACGTATAATTATCGAAATTTGGGTATTCCTTCATCCAAAAAAAATTTTCGTGTTTTATTTAGTTTCGGAGATACTGATGTATTTAGCTCTACAGCCTTTGTATACACATTTAGAATAGTTCATTGGCACATCCAATTATTTTCTTTAAAAAATTTAGTTTTGCAACATCTAATTCTTAAATATGATAAGACATTGTTGATGATACAATGATTATGTAATATACCGGGAAAATGAAAATTATTAAATTAATTATTTCAAATGAAATTCCGACTATTTTCATTTAAACAAATAAAACAACTATGCAAAAAATTGTGTAATGATATTATTTCGTATTATGCATATCACATAATCTTAAAAATAATACTTCTCATTTTCGCTTTAACTACTTGAATTATATCAGATTTATATGTCCTTGTTGTATAAATCAATATTATTAAATAAATTTACGAACACGTATGAGGTTTTACATAAAATCAAAATATTTCCAACGCCTCGACACAACTTTCCTGAACGTATTTTCGACTGGCGGGAATAAATAAAGGATAGTCCAAAGACAACACAGTATAGTTGGCTGGTTGATAGTCGAAGACCTACAAACGCGATCGTTTCCCACTAACTCCCCTTAGCTTCTTCTAGAAACCGCATGTACCCCCGGTAAATCTATACAAAGAGTTGCTCCTTAGTGGAACGTATTAAAACCGATACACCTTTTTCAGCTTTATTCATTTTCTTACTGTTTGTATAACATAAACTATGACATTATCAGATTACTTATTTAAAAAAATAACAACCTTTAAATGCCTCTGAATTTGTCATATTCTTGATATGCTAAGCAACATAATTTTTGTCAAATACCCTATGGAAAAAATAGAAGAAAACAGAAATTATTATTCTGAAGCTTTTATTTATGGCATAATTATTTCAGATTTTCAAACAACAGTGATCTCTCCTATCCATTTGAGATTTGATGGATAACAATACTGTCATTGATTTATCTCTTCGATCATTTAAATGCTGTGTCGACATTCGCATAGGGACTATAGCTAAACGATATGTTCGCAGTCGAAAGGTGAATTATGATCTTCCTCTTCCACCGTTCGTAGATAATAGATCAAATATGCACCACAGGGGTCGACGCTGATTAAAACGTCAGTCGTTGGTTTTGAACCTTTTTCACTTGTCACACGAGAACCTGTTTGCATTTCTAACAAATCGAGAAGAAGTGTAAACTACCTTCATTAGTCTCGGAAGAAGAACTTTGTACACAACACTTTCCCTTTTTACTGTGATCGTAAATCTGTGAGAGTCATCAAAGACTCCAAACTACGTTGAACCAGCCGATATCAACGAATTATCATTAAGAAAACAACTATTATTATAACAATAATTTTTTATATACCCGATTGACTACTTTTGGCGACAACATTGTTCGACTCTTAGTCGTTTGGCAATTCAGTCTGGAGTTTTCTGAATTGTTATCCTCTCATAGAAAACGCAATCATCCGGACCAAAGATTTAGCTCTCTCGCGCAGATTACTGTACTAAGAACGCCAGACAGAGGAAAGACAGAATTAATTCAATTTCCCGCCCTCTCCCAATTTCTAGGTCGAACGAGTCGACTAAGATCTCTGGGTTCCTGATTTGGATTCTTGAGGACAGTGATTACTACCTTACGTCGACCTAGAGAAGCTTGATTGTATCGTCAAATTGAACAAGTTGGACGAGCATACCCTGGAACGGTAAGTGGTTTAGAAAGACTTTGAAATCAATACCCTGTCGGTAGAGGACCTGCAAATCTTGGTCTAAAGACCCGTACTCAATTTACGGTTCTTACAGAGAAATAATTATGCCATAAATAAAAGACATTTAGTTGACGAAAATTCTTCGTATTATTGCTTCTCTTAATACTATGCCCTATTAATGACATATGAGTCCTTAAAATCTAAAGTTTCATTTAACTGAAAATTCTGTCTATCCCACATATTTCGTCTGTGGTTGAAGAAGACAATTTGAATTGTATAAAACTGTTAATTGGTTATGATATAAATAACGAGAATCAGGAATCATAATACTACACAATTCATTGTTATGTGACCTTTGGCAGAGTTACTTTTGAAAAGTTATTCTTGCATACATTAATTTCTATTTTTAAGTTTGTGACTAAAGTGCTAAACAACTAATTATGATTCATTGCAAACAAATTATTTGAAGGTAAATGTATAAAATTAAGGGAAATTTTTACCTCACTTATTGTTAAATGCACGATAAACATTTTTCCTTCGTAGTTGATCTTCTGAACCTCCGGCCAGCGGAAATGATGTGTTTTTCGAGATCCTTGAAACGTTAGAATGCCACAGTGATTAATACCAAGATAGAGCTGTACACCTTTCTGGTCCTGTTAAAACAAACGAAGCAATAGTTCAGTAAGATTAAAACTACATTATAATCAATGAACCACAAAATTATCTGAACACATTACACATTACATTATATACAAGAAACATTGTTACATTTATTCATTAAATTGTTTTGAAGTTGAAACAACCTTCGTATATTTTCACAATATTTCTTACTTAATGTCAAGAGATTAAATTGATAAGTGCAGTTTGGAAATTCTCAAAAAACGTATCCGTAATGTGAAATACCGTCTTAAATCGCGTATAACAACAGGAAAAGTAGCTATATTCATTTCTATTTGAACAATAGGTTTACGTACATTACTTGTATACCTATTTCTACGGTCTAAACAAAAATACGAGTTTTCTTGGAAAAATCAATTTATTTAATTTAGAAACAACTTAGTTAAATAATATTAACTTCCGTATACATTGATTTATATAATTTTATATAGTTACATAATATAATATTACACTTATACCATAGGATCCGCTTCAGAATACATTGCCTCGATACGACCCGCTTCAGATTACAGTGCCCCGGCGCGTGCCAGATATATTGTGATCGAAGCAGTAAATATATCTCCGTCGCATTACGATTTTTATTTACCATCGAACTTTTTGATTACTTTTATATTTATTACTGGAGTAATAATTTCATGAATGAAGACAATTTATTAGGATTAATTATGGAATTCGCCGATCCGTCAATGTGACGGATATCCGTAGAAATAGGTATACTACATACAAATTTTCAAAATAAGAGATCTGATGAGGAAATGGATTTGGATATACACTTTAGCTATGGAAAAAGTTGTTTCAAATCATTCCAGGATCCACTCATTTCCGAGAGTGGAAGCTATTTTGGGACACCCTATATATATTCGCGTGATTCCACTAATAAAAGTAAAAAATTACTAGGAAGTAATAGTAATGGTTTCTGTCATTTTGCTCGTAAAATCCGAAACCTGGCATATTGATAGGTCCCGTAAATCTAGTGTTTATTTCTCTATAAAAATCTCTATAAATAACTACTCAAGAATACTAGAAGGCTACACATTCACTTAATTTCTCTCTATCCACTTGCACATGCGCGCTAACAAGCTCAAGTTCGCTTGGTAGAATGGTACATTAAAATTACATTTTTAATCTCACCTTAACGGGATGCGGGTCAACGGCATACGTGTCAAACTGAGAAGCTAACCTAAGGAAGTGAGTTTCGGCTTGTTCCGGCGTAAATCCCTTTAACTGTGTTTGATGCAGATCCATGGCTTTCTCTTCGATAGCCTCCGTCTGTTTGAGCAGCAATTTGTGCGCGGAAATATAATTCCCTTCGTGAATTTCTGGATCGTAATCGCCCAATTCACCTGGAATTAATGATAGCACAGCATCAATTAACTGGTTCATCGAACCAAAATTACATTATATGCATTTCTGGAGACTTTGTGTGCTTCTAAATCATTATAATGTGAATTTGCATAAACATTCATAGTCAAATAATAATATATCCGCCTGACTTTCAAGGGCAGAAGAAAGTATAATTGAGAGAGGATGAATATTGTAAGGAAGATTTCTCTCTCAAAGTCATATTTTCTGAGATTTTAGGGTGATCTAAATTTTTTTTAGATGAAGTGATATACTTTTATTGCCACAGCATTCTTAGCTGATAAAAAGACAAATTCGTGCACGCATAAAGTGTCGACCTTTAGATAATCTTCTGACTTTTGACCAGTAGAATGTTTTCGATTAGAATATCTTCTTGCATACAGCAATTGAGCCTGAATTACATTTTGTATATGGGGGGCTTGCCCCCCTGGACAGAAAAAAGTGGCTTTTGCCCCAGCCTACAAGAAAAAAATTGGATTTTGCCCCCCTCCTCCCTACTCAGAGTTACAAAATTTTTTAGTACTATTTAATATTACAGTATAATTTGAAACATGACCAACAGCCTCTATTGACAAAACGCATACATTTTCAACGATTATGATTTTAAAAACAAAATACAGTGTGTCTGGCGACGTACTGTCTTTTTCACTGTGGCAGTCGATGTGTTAATATTCTTGCCCCCCCGTCCCTGACTGATAACTTGGCTACGCCCAAAAAGCGCCTAAAAGATACGTGATATTTTCTTGGATACCCTGACGTTTGTGTGAATAAGCAGCGACACAAAAGAGAGTTTGTGAAAACCTGTATAAAATAGCAATTTTTATTCGAACAAAGACTCAGCTTACTTTGCACAATGCACGCCGCCAGCAGCGCTGCTTCACCTGGACTGCAATACAGTCGCCCATGAAGAAGGTCCCTTTTGAGCTGCTGGTAAATCTGATACCTAGATATTTCTTCTTTTAGCCTTAGAGGATCCGGTGGATAGAATTTTACACGAAAACTAAACAGAATCGGGTCCATGTCTGGAAAAATACAATCACAGCGAAAAAAGTAACATTACTGAATACTTTTACTTCATTATCAATATAATTAACAATATGCTAGATTATACTGAATGACTTTTTTTAAGATGTGTAAGGTTTAGCTGCAAACGTAAACTGAGTGAAGCACACATTCGTGTTTCTAAACAGTATACTCGATTGTAAATACATACTACGCATTTAGTTCGACTCGATTGTTTTTATAAATAATTTTTATCGTCTTTTTTCTTCATCTACTGAATGGAGTGTTACAATTTTTGGATTACATGGTATAAAATTTTGTCCTCTTACGACCGGGTGACACAACAACTGTTGCCGAAATCAACATTTACTATGTTTACTAAAATCAATGAGAATAGTACAACGTGTCGCTAAGGTCTAAAAGTTTTATGTGACATCGACCCAGAATGAGTGACTATAGGAAGAAAGAAACTGCAATCGAAGCCTTGGTCACAGCTGTTCATTGCTACATGCAATAAAATTTACGTTTATTCTCTTCTTATCCATTATGTGTATATCGTGCACTTCAAAAATGTTCGCTAATTCGGAAGCAACAACGTTCTTGAGTGATTGACAGAAAACTTTAGTAAAAGCTGACAGTTGTACAAAAATTCAAAGAACTCGCGAAGCTCCGCGTGTTCTAACAGTTTTAATAGTTCCACAAGTTTTAATTGTTCTGTACGTTCCAAATGTTCAAATTCATTTAAAAAAAATAAATCTTAATACAACTAGGCTTACTTATTTTCCCTCCAACGATATTTAGAGGGATAAGCCCAGTGGGTGTATAAAAATCTTAACTAACACAGAAATTTAAACTAACCTTTCACTTGTTTAATCGCCGTTTTTGCCAGGTCTAACCAATGCTGAAACAGAACAATTGTTCGAATTCTGTTATTCTTTGAATACGGAAACATTGAAAGTGTTATTAATTTTTACGAAATAATCCAAGAGGACTACGGATTTTAAGAATTTTTACCAGATGCATCTGAACAAAACGCTGAAAATGTTTCTCTTTATTTTTAACGTAAAAAAACCCTCAATTGATCACGCGATTTTTTATTTCAGTTTTTATGAACATTTCGTATTGTTGGTTCAATTACTAATAATGCTTTGTCATCTTCATTTATAGATTGAACTCGAAATAATAACGCTACCGTTATACAAACTTACTCTCTGTCTGCAATGATCCACGTATCGAAGTCCGAAATAATCCGTTTCCATGATATTGAGTTGCTTGCATACATATTCGAGGATGTATCTTCCTTTGTGCTGAGGCTGCAACAAAGATATAACTATAGTGTATTCTCCTAAGAAGCTCATAATTTTAAGGGGGTCGTTGATCAACTCGGCAGATGAAAACATGAAAAGTAGTTGCCCACTCTCTGGGACCATCTACTAAACTGATCTATAAGGAAAGTTAACAAGATCACTAACAAGGAAACTTCGGTATCTACTCCGAAAATTCAAATTCTTTTTAAATTCCGCAAGTTTGGAAGGGGACTTCAATAGAAGCATCGGGTAATTTTTCGTTTCAGCTGATAATCGGTTCTTCACTGTGAAACCATCCCTTACATGTTAATGCGTGCTTTCCTATTTTCCTGTATATCTTGAAAACTATAATAGACGTCAAAAAGCTGTTACAATAAAAATGTAATGACTATTTATGCTGTATAAACCTGTGCATTAAAGTTGTTAAAAATTTTCTTATTAGCACACATTAACATTTAAGGGGTGTTTTCACCCCGAAGAACCGAATATCAGCAGAAAGAAAAAATTGCCTGATGCTTCTATCGATGTCCCTTATAAATCTGCTAAAATTTTCAAAAATCGGAATTTTCGGGGTACCGAAATTCCCTTGTAAGAATGATCGAGATGAAACGCTAAAATGTTGATTACCCTTTCAGCGTTGCCGCAACAATTGCAAACCGACAAATACGGTTGTAGATGATCCCGATACAAACATTTATACAAAGTCTCCAAAATACACTTTACGTTATTTTAAAGGATAACAGGGGAGCTTTCAGTAAAGTACAATATATCCAACATCATGTCCAATTTGCTTCCATCTCGCACCAACCACGCAAGTAACACTAAAAATAGGTCACTGGTCTAAGCTTTTCAGCTGCACGAAAAAGTGGTATGTGCCATGTACCACTCTAGGATTTTCATAGACACTGCATCTGCGACTGTAGGGAATGGATGCAGTTATTTACCATTCGGTCACGGTTTTCCGTCGAATAGTGGTACACTTGGTGGAAAAGACACAGCGAACTCGTAAAATTACTGGCCGGAGGAGCGGCACCATTCGTGAAGCAAGACCTAACCAGGCCACCCGCTGGGCCCAGCTAGTACTCATTGTCAAACTCATAAACGGCAGTCTGGTTTAACGTTCAGCACAATAAACAGAGAAGAATATATTTCCCAATTCGATTAACTGGTACAAAATTAGAGTTAAGATGTTTCCTACGGTTATTATGGAGCTTCTAACCCTATCTACGATCTCAAATTTCCGTTAAGAGGGTTGTTCCGAGGTGTGAAAAAGGTACTTGGGCTCGCTGAAACAAATTTTACGAACTCGCTATATGTATTATTCAGGGACTATATCTACGAGCCTGAACGAACTTCGAGGCCTACCTGTCTCAAATTTCTGTAAAGAGGATCGTTACAAGGTCTCAGAATGGTCCTCGCGGTTATCGTTGCTAGGTGCTGTATGTTACGACCTCGCTATATCGTAACCGTTACTATACCCGAAAACTTTACGAATTTACTCTATGTCTTGTCGACAAACTATAGATAATCAACTGATAACAAATTCCCTGCAGTGCAGTGCGAAACATCTGAATAATACAAGAACACTTTAGCTTCTTGGTTGCAAGAAGAAGTGGACTCGACGTACAGAAGAAGTGGTTTCTAATTTATGAAACTTACAAAAGTGTACGTGGAATCTTCGTGCAGCAAAGTGGTTTCACTTGATGAATTCGACGTTAGACTGATGTATGGAAGATCTGACTTACCAGATGCACATTTTTTTTATGCACTCCTGCGGTTGCACGAAGAACCAACCTAGTTAGGCTCCGCGTTTCCATTGGCAATCTAACGTAAGTCATTGTGTTTTATAAATAAAAATTGTAGTTGCAGAGGGGCTTGGTCACTACGACCATTTTTATGAATCTAGGAGAAAGAGATGGTTCAAATGGAACGTTCAAAGGTTTTGAAATTTTGCACGAACCGGCGTCCATGAATCAGCTTTCAAGACTTTCGAGCATAAGCACAGAACCAGTGATAGCTTCGACGGTAGTAAGTGAGCTGTTGTACGGTACACGTGCATAAAACGTGTACACAAAGTGGAACGTAGTTTTAGTTAATAAAAATGATACATCTTAGGGAATTGCAGTTGTAAGGGGGCAATAAAAGCCAGTGTACGACGCAAGGAAAATATCGATTGGGCGTTGGACACCCCTAAGAATGATATAAAAAGAACATTCTTGGCGAAAGCAGACAGCTTTCAACGTGAAAAGAGACCTGAATGCCAAGTACTATACCCTGAATAATATTATAACATCGGGCCGAAGACAATAGCTTTTTAATAGTACATGACAACATGTTTAACGGAATCGAAGGGTGACCCGAAAACAATGTATCCTTATCGCCTCTATTCCATATAGCATACAGTTTTGTTTCACTAAAAATTGAACTTAGTAATGGACAATTACAGACCAACTGACAAATGGATAATCATTCGACAAATAATTAATCATTGTAGCTGATTAAGTAACTATCGCTTTGCAAACGATCATGCGTTCCTCTTGACCCCCATGAGTCAATCACAGCACTTCTAAGAACGCTTATCGAGTGAAGTGTGTCAACAAATGTGACACTTGTTGATCGCCGGAAGTGCATGGCTGTGCATCACGGAAGTAATACAATTGATAAATACAACGCTATTGGAATAACTAGATTGAAAATTTTACGGATTTACAAAGTTTATGAAAAAAGCATCTTTCACCCGAATCGTACGACACGTCTGTATCGAATGGCCCGGTTAGATTTTGCGAAGCTTCGAATGAATGAATGCGGGTCAATGTTCGATCGAATACATTGGATAAGGCCATACGTCCCAATTAGTGTTATTAACTTGAACTGGGTACTCTGGGTATCTAGGTACTCGAGTACACGGTCCTATCCCTAAACACGGGGTATCACTCGAGTAAACTAGGTGAAGTTGAACACGGCTATTACCGCAGACGCATGGAATTATAATAAACCTCTGTTCACGTGTTTATATGAATTGTTGAAATACACATATTTTCTATTCAATATTTTACGAATATTGGTGTCTATTACCAGAACACGGTGGTTTATTAATGTTTGCAGATATAATTTTTGCGGTTATTTTTTAATACAAAAATACATTGGTCTATTTCTTTTCATATGAATTCTTTCATTCGGATTATTTTCAACACTATGAACGACCGATGACGCCACACTGGCGTCAAGCGAGTGCCAACTGTTGGTCGATGACGCGACACTGGCGCCAACTTTTTCGGACGCCACATTCGTATCATTCTAATGTTAGCTTTTTGCTATTGCGTGTTGCTATTTCAAAATTAGTCTTGGGTGTTATTTTGAACATTAACAATTTAAGAGAATACGTATCTTTGAACGTTTAGAAGGGTCATTCATATTTACACGTAGTTTGTGCGTAAATTTTGTCAAGTTCCAGTACATTTAGAGAAACCGTTGGAATCTACCACTTGACAAAATGATTAAATAGGTGTATTTAAATAATATAATAATAAGTTTAAACACTTGTATACCTTTATACATGAATATTTACTTATATATGACTTGTACCTTGTTATCATTCAAAATTATCGATTTTTTTACATACATAGCAAAAACCATATTTTGTTAAATCTTGAGAAAAACATCCGGCTGCTGGTGAAAGTTTCACGTGAACTAGTCAGTCATCATGGTGTTAATTGTACATTATATGAAACACTTATAAAACAATCATCATTAAAATCAATCATTAAAAATCGATCGAAAAATTTTAATAGAGAAAGTTTAGTTAACCTATATGTATTATATGGTATATCTTCGTGAAGGTATACAATGTAAAGTGAGAAATCTGAAATTGTGTGTTAGTGATTGATAAATTGACACGCGTGTTGCGAACGTTTCAAGTTCCGGTCATTACGCGAACCGTGACTTTTATCTTGCATATACTCCTACAGTTTGTCGCTTGCAAACAAAATCACAGACAAGAAATTCTTATCTACACCCACCGTATTTAAGGAGTTAATCAATGCAACTGTGAATATTTATCAGCATTAAGTTCCTGATTACGCGGCACAATTTTATAATGAAGCCCGAATAATAAAGTGAACGAAATTATTCCTCAATGAATGAAATGTTAATAGAATCCCCTAAGTCCTTAGAAAGAAATACCGAATCAATTTTAATATAAAAACTGAAAACTCGTCTGATTATTCTTATATTACGGTTTAACGATTATGTATAATTTTATAGACAATATAAAAACACCGTTGAACTGGATATTTTGGAGGAGAGCTAAAATAAAAAAAGAATCGAGTAAAACTGTGTTATTATACGTGAAATTTCACATTGCATTTTTATCGAGGGAAAAATATCATTTTATTTCTTATTAATATCGACTTTCTAACCTTGTTCAACATGATTGACCGCTTCCTGTTTGCGATGTAATTACTACTAAGCAATATAATTGCGGTGTTGTTCAGAGGAGTCATAGAAGTCACGGACAAACTATGTGTATACTTCTTCTAATCACTAGTAATATGTAAAGCGGATAGTGAATTGCCAATATTAACTCAAGTTTTTTGTAGGAAAATTCTAGACTTGCGTTTCTATGGAATATTACAAATGATTATAGTTTCAACAGTTACATTGCCACGGCACCAAAATTTAAGTATTATTTACTAAATTGAAAATGATTTCATTAAATATGTTCACTTGGACCACCGCAAAAATTATTATACAGGGTGTTTCTAATAAATAGATCGGGTTATAATTCTAAACGAAGATACATACAAATTTGCAGGGGTAAATTAAGTATGATCCAAGAAATCTGCGTATCCTATAACACGATGTTCGTAGATTAAAAATTATTTTTCGATAGACAGTGTTCCTGGTTCGACTGTCTTAGATAATTAATTGTGTTAGATACAAATTGCTTTAGCTCAGCTTTAATACTGAATCACAAACTGTAATTTTAGTTAGAAAATTAGTATACAAATTTCACCTATTTACTGTTCTAAATTTAGTTTTTTTAGAGTCTCTAAAATAAGAAACCTTAAATTTCGAGGTTCAGAATTTTATACATCGACTGCAGTTGAAATGATCATTTGAACAGGTGCAATGTTTTCTTCACTTATCATCGGTGAGATCAGTTTTGTATTACCACAAGGATCAGATTTATTTCTGTAAAAGGCACAACTAGAATGGCTTATTCGTGGCAGCCTGCCAATTATAACCACTCGCGTACCTGCACAATCGACCACAATCCCATGAGAAACATCGAAACACCTGACATCATACTTAAATGTCTTTGGACACTGATCATTTCGGGATAGCGGAGGAAGATCGAGTCAAGTTTCATGTAATCATAAACGATTTGCAAAACCACAATGTTAGGTAAGTTGTGGCTTCAACGTTTACCGAAAAATTACCAATCCAAAATAATATTATTTCACGAAGCGGTTCTTAACTGTGGAATGTATTCCCAAGAAAAACTTGATTCGGAAAGAACAATATTCGACGAGGACACAGGAATATGTAAGGTTGGTAGAAGAAGGATTTAATAGCAGTAATAAACAGCTCAATCAAGATACTAAAAAAGAAAAATTCGAATAGGAAAGAATAAAGAGTAATGAAAATAATTTATACATAAATACACTGAGAAATGACACATATTTAACAATACTTGAAGACAGAGGTGGCAAAAGTGCACAACTGGTTCCTTGTGATATTGTGAAATATAATATTAGTAAATTACTACAAATATAGATAAATATATGTTGAAGGATCCATCGCGCAAACACAAATCAAATCCAAACCACACCGCTTTTTTTTAATGTATCAAATCATAATCAAGGCAAATATTTTTCAGGCGCTCTAAGTCGAACAATGTACATGTGTATACAATCATATACATTCCATACATTGTACTACCACAGTATCGATGTAAGTTACCAGCTTATTTACAACCATGTATCAGTCTGATATACCACGTGTTAAATCAGAAAATATACTAGTTCATTATGTAGAAAAGATGGCAAAGAATATGGTACCAAGGAACATTATATCACGGAGTGAATTTCATTTTGATTTGAAAAAATTGCTAACTAACAGCACAAGAAACATGTTGTTCAACTGGTTAAAGTAATTTTTGTCAAATTCGATATTTCATCAAAATAATAAATTACATGCGAATGCTATGGATTTATTAGCGATATCTGACCAAAGTACAAATTATTTGAATCCACTTTATCGAAATAAAGTAGGTAAGAAATTCTTAGTACCGCCGAATAAAACGTACCAGGCACGTCAGTATGCAAATAAAGTATCATTTCCAAAGAGAAATACTTCCGTAGGCTCCGTTTTCTTCCACTTCGTATTTTTATATCGATGTTTTGTTAGATCAAAGAAGACGAATTCAGCAATGTCTCATAGCGGGACCTTGAAATAACTCAGCGCCAGGGAAATGCATATCAAGTTATGCATTTTACGCAATGTCCGCCACGAACACTTACAGTATCGTTCAAAAGTTTACAGTACTCGTCGTTCTTCAAAACTTTTCCACACAGACGTGTTTATCCTATCAAAAATACTACATACCAAACAGGAATCCTTTGCGTGTCATTTGAAATTGAAATAATAATTACATAGAGAATATCTTTTGAAAAAGCGATTTTTAAAGACTATAGGGCGCTCTGAACTTATGAACAACCGTGTACTTCCACAAGAGCTTCCCCAGATTTTTCCTTCGCAGTAACATAAACTGGTTCTCAATCTACGTTTTCGATACATTTCCATAATTTGCACAATATGAATCGGAGTTACGCTACTGTAGTCAGTAAATTCTGAATTTTATGTATTTATAGTATATCCGATTGTCTAAACCTCAGTATAGCAAAAAGCTTAATGCAGATTAATGATGTTGCCTATATTTTATTCAAATTTCTCTATTATTCCAGTTTATGTAGGTAGGTCCATACAAATCTATGTATATTTACACGAACATCTGCGATGTCGTCATCAGTGCCTTAGCTTCGTAAGTAGGGTCAAAAATAGGAATTATCTATTATCAGGGCTCATAACATAAACAACCCTTGTCAATTTTTGTTTTTTTCTTCCACGAAAGTACCCAAATATCATGGTATTTTTAAGAATATGAAGAATCGTTCGATTTTCTTCTCAGAATAAATCAGGACATAAGTCGTTTTTGGTAGTACAGGTTCCACCATGTTGCAAGTCTCGCTTTTGACAACTAGAATATGTTATCACAAAAATCGAAACAATCGACAAGGGTCGTTGTTGTTACCAGCCCCACGATTAATTAGCGCAAAGGACAAACGATGTCGAAAGAATCTTTAACAATCTCCCATCGATTACTTACAGATGCTGAAGTATCAATCGACCTTAGCACAAATCACATTTATTACGAGAACTAGTGGCTAGAATGAACGAACAAAATGAGCACTCAGTTAGAAATAGAAAATTATACAGTAATCAATGACCTTGTTCGATTTGTGTATTGAATGATCGAACTCTGGATGGATAGGTGACTGTGTCGAGTAACACGGTACTTGAATTGCACAGAGTCTCGAATGGCACGATCACTCGATAAAAGAAATGCACATACGTAATGTATGCATATACACAGTCACAAGGTAAACCTATCTCTATATAGTATACACAGGCACACATGAATAGCACGGAACGTAATCTCCAAAATTAGACGAATTCTAGCTGTTGAATAACACGGAACCAATTATTCGTGTGATTCTAGGGGTTACCTGTACATACAAAGGCAGACTCTAACTGGCAGTTTTATGAAAAAAAAAATTAAACTGAGACCTCTTACGGAAACGAATGGTTTTACCAGGAAAGGAAAAGAAAAACAAATACTGTATGGAATGGCTATTTTTTTTTTCGTTAAGAAACTCCAAATTTTGAACGTTTCCAACGTTGTCATCGGCGACCACATTTTGAAGAAGAAACTCTCAAACGAAATAAGGAAATAGAGAACGGCGAACAAAACAATCCTGGCTAAATTCTCTACAATAATCCGGACCTTACTGTAATTAAGGAATAAGTGGTATTATTTGTAGTTGTTTACTTTTATCAATAAATTTTATACAAAATGAGGGAGTCCCCGCAGTCGGGAAATAGGTGGAGAGAATTTTATTCGATTAAGAAATAACGTTTACGAATATTTACACATCGTTAGACATGTGTTCCGTTAAAAAATTATTTAACAATAAGCAAGCTCCGAGTTGTTCACATTGCAATCATGTGTTTGATATAAATAGTAAATAACAGATGGCACTTTTTTTTAATAGTATTCATTACTCCAATATTTTCATCTAAATTTTCCCTGTGTCTATCGTGAATGTAAAACGAACAGAACTAAAATCAAATAAGTTGCCGTATTTTACAAGGCAAATTTCTGTAATTATAAAAAAATATGAATCAAATGATACATAATAGTAAACAAATTCGAATCCAATCGGAAAGTGTATTCAATAATGGAAATGTCAATCGCAATTCGAAATGTAATGAGAAGACTGACATAGAAGGTGCAGTTATGAAATTGAAACTTTCATAACGTCCAAATATACAGTGAGAAACAAAAATATTCACAAATGTTAAATGAATTTTTATGAGTTTAAAAATTCATACTCTACTTTTTAGATCATAAATTTAATGCTCTGCTCAAAAATTAAACCATTCAATTCTACAAAATTTAGTATTTTTATTTTCAACAATTATTCCTTCATTTTAGTATTACTATTTTCATTACTGATATAAGATTCTCATTTTCATATAGAAAAATCCCAATATAACGGGGTCAATAACATACTTTCACCCCTTTTACTCCAAAATCTTACCGTACAAATACATTCGTCCCACCCAGTATATGGTAACATTGGCTCATACACAGTCCTATGGTGGTGATTCTGATCTCAACGTTCAATGTCGTCCTCGATCGATAACCATGTTTTCAAGGAAATTAATGCTGAAACTGTATGTCAGTGCACACCAAGAATTCCTAGAAAGCAATAAAACCGACTGCATCACAAATTTTAAGTCATTCGTACGAATTTCGAACAGTTTCGATACTGGCAGGTCCGGGCTGTCACACTATCGGAACCCGACATTGCTCCTCCATCGACCCAATGTTGCCGAGCCGATTCAGTCGTATGAAACCGTACACACGGAAGTACATACATACGTGAAAAAAATGTATTCGAAATGACGTGTTTTCAAATTCACAAAACTGAATAGTCGGGTTGAATCGCTGGGCGATCGTTACCGGTCGCAGTAGGAAAAAGGGGTAGAATGAAGCGCGTGTACGAGCGTCATCGATAGGCCTGTCGCGTGCTTAGTGGGACTGACGTATGTGTCTCACCTGAAAGTCACAGTGGATAATTTCGGCGTCGTCTAGGAGTCGGATAGTGGCGCGATGCACCACCGTTACGTCGCTTTTGCTGCCAAACTTCAACATTTCTGCCCTCAAGTCGCCACCCGAATTATCCCTCCGGCCCTCATCGTCCCCTGCTCCACAGCACCACACACTGCCCGCTGATTACACTCGGTTCACGGTGTCGTCGCTATCCCAGTGAACGGACCCGGGATCGTCGTGGACGCGTGACTCTCTTGCGAATTTACCGACGGGCTGACACAACGCACAACAGCACGGTAAAATGAGCGACGAGACATCACCGTAAAGAGACTCTGAACTCTGTCAACCGGTCCCATCCACTGGCTCGTTCGTACGACGCTGCCGGGTTTCCGACATAACGCATCGAACGCGGCGTTGCCGTTCAGGGAGATCGAAACAAAGGGACAGGATTGGTCCATGGGTCGCGTTAAAGCGGGAAATTCGAATGGTCTGGATTCACCTTACGGAATTCTTCTCATTTGTCAATTCGAGAAGAAAGTTTGTTTTTATTTGCACTTTTTTTTTTAGCATCTACAGTTTTGGAAAAATTATTTTAACGTATTAGAACATTACTCAGTGAATGTACCGTTGATAAATCGACTTTTACGATTACTCGATCGACTCCATTATACAATGGAGAAGAATGTAAAACATTAAATAAACCGAAATCTGAACAAAAGTGGAATTGTGCAGCTTTAAAGAACTAGATTCAGTACATAATTGCTATATGTACGGTTCTTAAATTGTAGAGGTCGTTAAAATCATTCCCTTCTTAATGAGTCGGTACTACAAGGGATAAACACAGGATAAACACATCAGATACTACTGTATCTGATTCACGCACGCCCGGTAAGTAGTCGCTCGATGATTGATCATCTCGGGACAGTAGAGGGCCGAATTTCATCGAAGAATAGTTGGCGCGGAATATTAGTCTTTCTTAACAATTTGTATCTTAAAAAATTGTTTTCAATTTGCTCCCTGGGAATCTAACATAGCTCTCATCGCAACTATTATATTTAATGGGATATTCGCAAATGAAGAAGCAAAAATTTGTTGTCTGCAAAATAGATAGCAAATTTGTATTTTTACACAAATATTATGGTACCAAAAAATTGCTCGTAATCTATTTTATAATATTCAATGGTCAGATATCTTAATAACAACTTATTAACAAGGAGCAATTGAAATAATGTTGTTGCATACAGGTTAAGTATGACGTCATACAGTAGGCACTCGTTTATTGAAGGCTATTTTATCGTTCCATAAGAACATCCTTCGCTCCCACGTATTTCTTACCCACGTACGCGCACCCCACTCTATCGTCCAGCACATTATTTGTTGCAATTACTAATCCGTACTTTTCTACACTTTTATACGTAAATAAGATTACATTGTTCTCAATAAAGATGTATAAATGAAACTACTGTTCAATCATACGTGCAATATAAAAAATGGTCCAGTAACTTTGAGACGTATTAGAAAGGGGTTTTGTGTTCGAGTCCTGCCAGACCTATTTTTTTTTTTCGAGTACAAGAAAGTATTATTATGTAAATTTAATTGAAATACATTATTTTTCCATTGTTAATACAGCGATTTAACAATGACAACAAAAGCTTATATGTTTTCAAATACAAATAGTATACTTGCATTCTACATTATCACACATATGTGAGTAATATTTATCAAAAAAGTAATGGAAATATAAATTTTTATTTTACGTGTCCCTATAGTAAACAAAGATTTTCCATCGTATATGTAGCCTTAAAATATTCTAAGTTTCATGTAAGATAGAACATTTACCAAAAATATTCGATCTTACATACATTTTTATAACTAGAAAAATTAATTTTAAGTTCGCAGCCATTAGCTCGATATTGTCTTCAGTTTACAATACTTTACCGATGACAATACCGATTGCCCAGGCCTCACCACGAGGAGGTTGCTGCGAGTGGAGGCCCAAGGCAGGTAGATGAAATCACAAGTTCTACATCTACCCACCTTTCACAATAAACCTTATAAATAACTTAAATCTTAACTAT